GGACTGGGTTGTGAAATATCGCCGACTTTCATCTTTGTCAGTAATGCGACCATGTCTTTGTCCAATTGATCAATCGTTACGTATGGAGAACCATCACGATTCAACACAAAAGCGCCGGTGAATTTTTGCGCATCGTCATCACTATATTTCTTTGCGGCTTCATTGAAACCCAATGTACCCGCAACAATCTTCGAACGAACTGTATCCAAACGTCCTTTCGCGGTGTTGATCTCAGCGTCTGTTACCGGCGGAACTCTCAATATCATCTGGATTACCGCGTCATCACCATTGCGTTCTATCATTTTGATAAGGAAGAATCCAAACTTATTAGATTTTACCGGCGCCGAGATTTCCCCTTCTTTCAGTCGGAAAGAAGTGGATAAGAAAACCGGGTCCCATGTTTTTTCATTACGATTGATTTGATACTGACCCCCGCGATCCTTACTTCCCGGATCTTCAGAATATCGTTTAGCCAACTGCTCGAACGTGGCCATTTTTGTTTCTACCTGTTTCTTGTAATTGTTCATCTCTGAAATAATATACTGCTCGAGATCACGGGAGGCCTTGGGATAAATAACGATTTGACCTATTTCCAACTCTGATTCAAAGAATGGCAAACTGTCTTTCGGTATCTTATCGAAAAAGGCTTTTACTTCTGTGGGGGTGATCTTGACGCCGGATACTATTTTTTGCTGCATTGCTTCGGCAAGCTTTCTTTCTCTTACTGATTCACGTGCATCGTCTTTGATCTGGTAAACAGATTTTCCCGCATATCTTTCCAATTCTTCCTGGCTTCCCACCTGGTTGATGAAGTAGCGGATACGTTGATCTAATTCCGCTTCTACATCTTCTTCCGTAACAGGTAAAGAATCTTTTTCAGCCTGCAACATCAATACTTTGGATACCACCGCCTGTTCAACGATCATGCACTCCGCATTCGGAGGAAGTTCCTGGCCACCACGGGCTGCATCGGCAATAGAATTTTTGATATCGGAATAGAGGATAATCCTGTCACCGACAACAGCAACAATCTTATCACCGATCGCTTTTTTGGGTTGACCCTGTGCAGATATGATCCCCGCGAAAAGCAGGAATACGGCAGTCAGTAGTTTTTTTGTAGTAAGCATAGTATTCAAAAGTAGTTTTACCGCCCAAACCGGTAAATAGGCGGCAGGGTATTTAACAAAGTTTTGAGGGATAACGGTATTAAAGTAAATATTGCCGGTAAAACGGGAAGGCGGGAA